GGGGGGTTTTTTGTGACAGACAACATTTTAAGGTAATAACTTGAATTATGACTGATAACGTTAAAACAGGACATATCAAATTTCCAAGAATTTCATACAATTTCTGGAACCCTTATAACATATACCTATAAAAATACAACATAAAGAATACTTCTTATTTGGCAGTGCTTCCCACGTAATTTAACATATAGAATAAGGCTAATTAGTTTAACATTTCTCTATTTATAAGAAGAGAGAACAACTCTTTAGAGATGTTCTAGGGACCCTCTGGAAAATTCCAAAGTTACTTCCAGGTCAAAAAGATTTCATTTAGAATTTGATTTTGGGGGGAAGTTTGTCTAAGATATCAAAAGGTTTTAAAAACAGTTGGTCTAATAGGATCATAGGTCACTGTGAAACAACATCCAGTTATCTATTTAACCGGAGTGACAATTAAAGACTTCCAGGCAAATACGAAATTACATAGCTGTAAAAATCTTAGCTCTTTTAATAAAGAAAAGTCTCAGTTTTCCTAAGTACTCAAAGACTTAATAAAGAAGACGGGAAGCACAGGAAACTACAGATCCTCCTCAACTTACAATGGGGTTCCGTCCTGATAAACCCATTGTAACCCAAACTATTATAAGTAGCAAGTACATTTAATACACCTGACCTATCGAATATCATAGCTTTGCCTAGCTCACCTTAAATATGCTTGGAACACTTATATTAGCCTATAATTGTGCAAAATCATCTACACAAAGCCTATTTATAATAAGGTGTTGAATATCTCATGTAATTTATTGAATACTACGCTGAGTGAAAAACAGAATGATTGTAAGTGTGTTGGTTGTTTCCCTCTTGACTGCATGGCTGACTGGGAGCTGTGGCTCACCGCTACTGCCCAGCACCACAAGAGAGTGTCATACCACATATCTAGCCCAGGAAAACATCAAAATTCAAAAAAGTATGGTTTCTGCTGAACATGTATCACTTTCACACCATCCTCAAGTTGAAAAATCATAAGTGGAAACATGGTAAGTCAGGGTCTGTCTGTATTTTGACAAAAGAGAATCTTTGTTCTCTAGGCTGATTACTTAAAAGGTAAAGAAAAACCTTTCACAATCTGTTAACAAAAGCAGACCAAAAATCCAAGAAAACTTTGTCCTTTTAACAAAGAGAAAATGAATTTTTAATTTTTCACTAGCATACTTTTGATATCAAAACTTATATTTTTCTTACTCAAGTAAATTCATTTTAATTTTAGACAGCTGGACCACGCATAACATTCCTTTCCCAAGATTCATTTTTCACAAACCTTCTTCAACTTTCTTTTTTACTTTCAGATTTTGTCCTGTTTTTCCTCTTTCTCATTCTGAAATAACCAGCCTCACTTTAGGACAAAATTACATCCTTTTCCCTCAACAAAATGGAGCTCCATTCCTCAACCTTCTCTTACCAAAAACACACATCCTATTTTCCTTACATACAGAGATGTTTCTTTCCTCGTTGTTTCTTGTAGCTTTAAACAGTTGTGAATGGTCTGTTACTGACAAATTGATGAATACGTTTCATAATTCCTAATAGTATATTTTCCCTACAGTAAATTGTCCAATGTGGCACAAAACACGTTTGCCAATAGACCCAAATATCCTTAGTTCCTCTAAAAGGAAGCCAAAAGTGGATAAACTTATTTTTAGTAATGTTTCAGTATTTTATTTTATTAGGAGATGATCTAGATATTCAATGAATTTGACTTAACTCATCATTTGACTTAACTTAGCAAAACTTTAAGATTTCAAGTAACCAAAAGATCTTGCAAACTATTTGCTGAAAAGTTCACCTAGAAACTGTTATGCCATTTACATCTATTTAAATCATTTGTTCATAACAATTATGTTTAGATTGTCTACAAAAATTTCACTAAACATTAGACAAAGTCAGTTGTCATCCTAAGTTATTTTTCTGGTTGACAAATTTTGTAGCAGACGTAACATGACTAATTTGATTAGCAAACACAGGTAGAATAAAAGTATTATATTTAATGCTGATAACTCTAATGACATGCCTGTTTTAATTAAACCAACAATCTTAAACTAGCTTTCATTTACTAAAGATGAATCCTAGATCATGTGAACTTGAAAAACATTTGGGTTAACCTTTTATATTAACTTAGTTTTCTTTAGCCAATTAAATAGAGCTCTTTACAAATTAATTTTGGCAATACCATCCAGAGGTAGAAAATATCACTCATCTATAACACATACATATAGACACACATAAACATACAGACAAACAAAGACCTTACGGCTTCTGTTTTAAAATTTTAGCCATGAGTCAGATACAATAAAAGAAGCTGGATCCAGATTTTGTTTCTGAAAGTTGGAATAATCAAGGTTACTCCTCAGATGGTTAAAGCTTTTTACTAATATTTGTGGAGAAGACTTTTAAGATTTGTATTTGTCCTTGACAACTAATCTCGTGGAGACGTGGACTAGATTTTGGCAAGAGAGCTTCTATAGCAGTTTGTATTTTTAAAATCCTCTTTTCTCTTTTTTTTCTTTGTGTTAAGAATTACCTCCCTGAAGTTTGCATTTCAAGGAGATAGCCTAGATAAGAAGATAAGACTTTCCCCGGAGAAGATCAGGTAGAACATTTACATCTCAAAGGCACAGGGAAATAATGCAAACTCCTTCAAGAAGGACTTTTGTTCTCTAAGGCCATAAATTTTATAATACCTACAAGCCTTTTGAGATAAATAGGGGAGGTTTGGGGATTGCTAAAAAGAATAAATGGACTTTGAGTTGTTTGAGCTGTTTCTGGAGCCACACTTCTGGTCCTATAAAGACTCGATTGATAAGACAAGGACAGTTGTTTTTAATTTCTCCAAGAACTGGGTTGCGACTTGAATGACATCATAGGTTGATCCACCCATCCCATCACATTATCTTCAATTTGCTTTTTTATATCAGGGAGATTACCAACTAAGATATAAATCAAAAGATTTTTACGTTCTGTATTTAGAGCTGTTTGTCTTTGGAAAGCTTTAGTAAATACTTTCAAATATCTTGTCACTTTTCAGTAAATATTTCTGGCAGTATTGAACAACCCCTTGGATTTAAGAGGCATCCCAATGAGGATGAAAAAGATATTTTATTTCCTCTCTCTACCAGATACTAAGAGAGAGATGTGGGGGAGCTGACTTTGGTAAGATTTCTTACCCTGAGCTAACTTCTGCCAGTTTTCCCAGGATCCCATCTACAGGATCCAAGTGAAGTTTAAAGAAGAGTGTCGCTCTGGTATTTACCAAAATTTGGCAACATTTTCTATTAATTTTAATTTTAGTTTCCCTTGGCTATTTAAGGGAATAACATAGCAATTGACCAGGAAATCTCTCAGAGTCCTATCAACTCTGGGAGGGGCCTATATGAGGGGGGCCCTCCTTTGTAGGTAGATATAAGGCCACTAACTTCACAACTTCATTCACAGTTTTGTTCCAAAGTCTTGACAAAGTGCTGAGAATGGTGGACTCCTATCCTATTTTCTGCCTTTTTATCAATCCATTAGTCTCAGGAGATAGTCCATTTACAAAAACTTTTGAGGATCCTCCCCAGGTTTAGGAGATTCTTTAACTATGGCCCTTAGTTTAGCCTTTGACCAAGGAGTGAAAGATACCTAAGAAAGATCACCTGCAGCCTCAGGTGGTCTTATTTCAAGAGGTAACTGGTTAATAATCTCTTTAGAGTACAAAGGCAATTCAGACAAAGGACTACTAGAATGAGTACTCAAATAAAGGAGGCTAGAGGGGGAGCAGTAGGAGTTTTATCAGCCTTACAGTCTTTTGTTTTAGGTACCTTATATAGTATTAATTTTTCATTAGCTTTATGCAATGGATCTTTCAATGAAGCTATTTTGGAATTTCGAAACCCTTTGGAGACTTCATCATGCCAATGAAAATAGGTATCCCACTCTGTTTGTTTGAATTGGGAACCCTTGCTTTCAAGTGCACTTCTTAAATGATCTAATTAGAATGTTTCTCATGATGGCCATTGTAATTCTAGGTTGTTTTTAGTAAGATTTTGCCATTTTTATAGATATTTATAGCTTCCAGGTCTGTAGTTCTAAGCATAAAATAAGCTCATATGCCAAAAGGTCATGTGCTCAACTCCTTGGAATTTAAGGGTCCCATTCTTTTTTAATTAAGCTTCTGGGTCTCTTGGAGTCAAACTAACGCCTCAAGCAGATGTGCTGCTGGGTTGGAGATTGTGTGGTGTTTTACAGTGTACCTCATTGCATGGAAATTTTCTTGAGGTTAGTGGGTGACCAAGTGTCAATCTAACCCGTTCTGTGACTAACTTATCCTAACATGGGAGTTTTGGGGTTAGGTGGTGAGCACTTTAATAGCTATTAAATGCTCAACCCATGCCCACCAATTTTTGCGGCTTTTAACTTCCGAGATCCCTGTTAACAATAGCCCTTAGCTCGCGTGCACAATCACATCAGTGGTAACAAACAAGATGTTACTGTGGACCGGCCAGTAGAAGACCTTGTGCATACCACCAGCAGTTCCCAATGGGGAGCTGAGGATTGGGGAAAGGATTCAACCAGAAGACCCCAAAGAATGGAGACTTAGGACTGACTCCAAACAAATAGAGAACTGTAGCTGCCATTAGCAGTTCCCAACGCAGAATGTGGGGACAGAACCAAGGGCCAGGTTTTTTCCCTCAAAAATGGGGAATTGCAAACTAAACTACCAGCAGCTCCCATCATGGAACTGGGGACTGAACCAGCAGACCCAACAAATGGAACTATGGACCGAACCAATGACTAAGGGCTTAGGTTACAGGTGGAACCGTCTGCTAGCTCAAACTGACCTGCCCTAGACTTGAAAGGCAATTAGATCAGGCTTCTGTGACAATGCAGTTCTTGGTTTAAATGTCACTTCCTCCAGGAAGCATTCCCTGACACACATACCCCCCAGGCCAGATCAGGTCCCACTTGATTTACTCTCATAAAAGAAATGAAGCAGTGTTTCTGTTTTATTGCACTTTTAACAAGTGTTTTTGTATAACTAGGCATTTGATGTCTGCTTGCTAGCAGAGTGAAAGCTCCATTTAGCCAGAGACGCTCTCTGATTGGTTACCCTGAGCATACTGTGGGAGGAATTCAATGTATTTATTGGAGCGAGGAGGGAGGGAGGAGTAGGCAGACGGGGGAAGTGGATGAGGACTTGCAGACCAGCAGAAAGCTACAGGTTGAATATAAACTGCAATATATTTGACCTAACGGGCACTAATTAAGATCATGGCAGTAGATGAGATAAATGTTAAGAGAAAAAGGCAGGGACTGACTGGGAGATTTCCTGTTGGGGACAAGAGAAGTGATCAGGAGGGCCAAAATGGGTTCACTGGTAACAAGTCGCCCATTCCTCCCTTCCACAAGCCTTCGCTGGGTACTCACCGAGTACCAGGCACCACACTGGACATACAAGGGAAAACTCCACACAGCCCTGCCTCCAAGTGACCTCACCTGCCTAAGGCACCCAGGTTCGCCACTCCCAATCTATGTATGGAAAACTTGGGAGGGTCCAGCCAGGGCTAGTTGGGAGGCTCAGGACTTGATTTCAAGGGTCCTGAGTACAGTAGATCAGATTGCTCTGGCAGGTGGTCTGGAGTGACACATGCCAGGGCTCCTTCCTTGGCCCTGATCTGATCAATATGTATATCAATATATTTATTGGTGACTCGGATGAAGTTGGAAAGTTCTAGCGCTCAGACTTGTGGATGGACAAGCTGGGAGAAGGAGGCGAAAGAGTTGGCAAGAGAGCCAGGATCCCAAAGGCTCTCAATAGGCTGGAGCCCTGGGATGACCCTAAAAGATGTCTAACAGGGACAAATGGCATGTTCTCTGGCTGTGTCCTAAACCCTAATATCACAACCCCGTGGAGAGGAAGGGAGGGTGGACAGAGACATGACAGACACTCCCTGTAAACAGACACCAGCAGAGGAGCAGTGCATGGACATTGCTTCTGTCCCCAGTGTTTGTGGTCACCTGGCACAGAACCTGACACTCAGAGGGTGTTTAGTGCACGTTCTTAGGATGATTGTGCAAACAAGGAAAGTACACTAAGTTTAGAGTCGGGCATGTGGCTTCAAATCTTCAGCCTTGGACAAATCAGCAACCTCCTCTGAACTTCAGTTTCCCCATCTATAAAATGGAGGCAACAACGCCCATTGTTTCTGAGACGATGGATTATCATCTCCACAGCCTAGGAGAAGCTGGATTCTATTAAGTCACAGTCCCTGCTTTTGAGCATGAACAGACGCACAAAGAAGCCCTTTCAACACAGCCTGAGAGTTGTAAGAGGACGACAACCCTTGCCTTGGATAGGTGGGAGGTGTTTAGGTGAAGACATGAGAAAGAGCATTCCAAGAAAAGCAAGCATAGTCAGCAGACAGCATGGTGGTGGGAGGTGTGCACAATGTCTAGAGCACTGCCTGAGGGCCACGTGCCCACAATGTGGGCACTTAGGAAGGGGAAGAGACCAGAGTGGTTAGCAGCATGGTCAGGTCAAGCATGGCCTTGTAGGTTATATCCAGAGTCTGAACTGAGCACAGTGATACTAAGGGTTTTAGGCGTGATCAGCTTTGCACTTAGAAAGGTCATCCAACACCCATATGAAGCACAATTGGAGAGCAGTCCGGAGGCAGGGGAGGCTGGGCAAGAAGCTGTGGCAGTGGACACGGGGAGCGGGGTATAGGCTGAGAACAGTCACATGACTTAGAGGGTCTTGAGGCCACTGGACTGGTGGTGGGAAGAGGTGGTTGGCTTATGCTATCACTCCTCTGTGCCTCAGCACCATGGGACACCAAGAAGAGCTGGCTGCACAGGCTATAACGTTGAGTGACCAAGGTTTCTATTCTAATTCCCTTGCTTCTAGCTGCTAGACCTTGGGCAAGGTATATAACATTTTTGTACAAATGGGGACAAAAATGCCTACAACAGGGTTAACAGGAGAATGACATAATAACTATAAAGTGCCAGAAGGTAGATGGCTCACAGTAAGTACTTGATAGATATCATTCAGAATACCCTTCCCCTTTTTTCTGATCAAAAGTCACCTTAGCACTCCAAGTATGAAATGATTAGGGTCTTCACTAACACACCTGTCTGCCTCCTTGCCTCCTTTCACTCAACAAACATCCTCCAGAACGAAAGCTCCAGGAAGACAAGAACCTTGTCTGCCTCCTTCATCACTGCAGCTCCAGCACCAGCACGGAGCCTGGTCCCTAGCAGATGCTCACTAATGTTTGCGGAATTAACTGAGTGTCTCACAGGCACCACTCCACATGCCAAGAATACAGTGATGAGCAAGGCAAATCACAGCTCTCAGGAAGCTTGTTTGAGCAGAGGAGACCAAAAAAAACCCGTATGATTCCAGATAGTGATAATGCTACAGAGTACAAAGGGTGACATGTTAGAAAGTGTCAGGGAAGCTGCTTTACAAGTGATCAGGGAAGGGGACACTGGAGCCGAGTGTTCCAAGCAGCGGGGACAGCTTGAAACAATCAAGAAACCACAAGGTGTTCATATGGCTGGAGCACAATGCATGAAAGGAAGAGACACCCAAGATGAGGCCGGAGAACTGGGCAACGGCCATGTCCCACGAGGACACAAGGAGGAGACTGGCTTTTATCCTCAGCAGGATGGGAAGCCATTGGAAGGTCTTAAGGAGAGAAGTGACTCAATCTGATCTATACTTTGTATGGAGAATGGATTGGGGGACAGGCGAGGATGGAAGCAGGGAACCCAGCTGGGTTTTTGCAGTGTCCAGATAAGAGGCAGCGGCTTGAACTAGAGCACAACGGTGGAAGTGAACGCAGTGGATACTTACTTGCTGCAGTGACCACCTCCCCTGCTCCTCAGCAGCATCTGACCCCCTCGTCCACCCTCGCCCCCAGCCCTGACCACCTGGAGAGTAGATGTGTTTGTGTCAGTGTCCACCACCCACAAGCCCAGGAAGCTCTCAAGGATGGGAGTCAGGCCTGGTCGAGCTCCAGCACCGCTCAGCACAGGGCTGGGTTGGCCATGCTGGAGCTCCAAGGGTGAATCAATGACCCAGTGAAGGAATGAAAGAGAGGCACCCCCACTCTGCAGCCTCATGTCTCAAAGCACAAGAACATCAGTAACCAAAGAGAGAAATGGGGCAGTAGAGGGAGGAAGGTGAGGCAGATGGCAGGCAGTTCTATAAAAGGGCACAGCAGTTACGAGGAATCACAGCAAGGTGCAGCAACCACCTGGTCATCCCAATCTGGGTGTCCATGTGGGTTGGGCCCTCTAGTCAGCCCTGAGGTGTGGGGCCTTGTGTCTGCCCTAAGACTGGCCCCACCAAGACAGGGATGCCATTGGCAGAGAACGCAGGTGCCACTGGGCATGCAACCATAAAGAAAGCCCCTCCGGAGTAGGAAAATCAGGATGCAGGAGGCCTGGGGAAGGCAACTTGCCCTGATAAGAATTTGAAGTAGGCCAGGTAGAAGCTGGGGACCTACCCTGCCTGAGCACTCAGGCTCAGAAACATTTCCAGCAAGCAGGGGTGTCAGGGCTGGGGCCAGGACAAGCAAGGGAGCTCTTCTAGCAGGGCCAAGAAGCCCCCAGGGTCTGTCACAGACCAGCCACCCTTCCACCCGCCAGGCAACACAGTCCAGTAAGAGGCGAGCTGGCAGACTGGGCAGAGGTGACACTGAGGTGAGACAGCTCACTCCCATCCCAACTGTCAATTCCCAGACCACCTCCCTCTCCACCTCGGCCACAGCTGTAGCGCAGGCCTCAGGCCCGCTTCCCCAGATTGGGATCATGCAGCAGCCTATCCCTGTCCAGGCTCTGCCCTTCCAGTCTACTCTCCTTGCTGCACCTGTGTGATCCTTCAAGAGCTGCCCTTTGCCCTTAAGACAGGATTCAAGTTCCTGAACTGGGCCCCCAAGTCCACCTTGATCTGGCTCCCACCTATATCTCTGCTGCTTCTCCTGTGCCCATTTCCTCCATCTACCAAATTCATCTTGGTCTTTCAGTGTACTGTCCCTCCTCCCTGAGATGTCCTCGTCCCCTAGCTCAGTCACTGGGAACCTTGCAGATTCAACACAGGTCCTCCTCCTTCCCAGAACAATCCAGTCCTTGGTCGGGGCTGTCAGGGCTCTCTAGCAGATCTCTTTGTCCCGTGCTTGCCTCCCAGGCCTGTGGGTTCCTCTCACCAATGGCACCAGCTCAGGGCCAGTACGCCAGACTCCCTGCTGCGCTGCGCTGGCCACTGAGGACAAAGATGTAGCAACAGGGTCCCTGCTGTCAAGGAGAGCCAGTGTGCTACGGGAGGCAGACCCACCCACAGATGCCCACCACACAGGAGAGACTGGGAGGAAACAGCCCACCTACTCCAGGGCTCAGAGGAGGGAGGGGAGGCCTTCTGGAGAAAGAGGGATCTGAGCTGGGCTGAAAAGAATTTAATGGTAGAGGAGCAGAAAGGGCATCCTCGGCTGAGGGAAGGAGGCAAGGAAGGAAGAGGGCAATGTCTAGCAAAGCAGGGCTTCGTCTACTGTGGGGAGTGCCGCGGCTGCACTCTGAGAAGCCTGTGTCCGCTCAGCAGGTGATGGAAACCAGGGGAGCTTTTGGAGGAGACTGACATACTAGAATCGGGCTCTAGAAGGTCAAGTCTCCAACCCCCAGTACCCTAAAATGATGGCTAGAAAGGACACAGACCAGGAACCTTTCTTGATTGTTAGTGGGTCTTTGCCCATGTCATACCCACTAGCTGCCACATGGGAGGTCAGGGCAGAGAGAGGGGACCAGAGGGGGAAGCAAGGTCCAGACTCAAGGGGTCTGCACTTCCTGTAGGGGACGGGGAGAGGGGGACGTGGAAAGCTCTGCCCTAGGCTGAACATCTCCTCGCAGGGTGGCAGCTGTGCCCTGACTAGGCCGGGTACAGATCGAGTGGGTCTCAGGTCCTCCGGAGCCAGGCAGGCAGGCAGAAGTCAGGCTGGCCGTTTTGCAGGGGTCATCAGTCTCTCCACCTCCCGCATGAACCGCAGACACAACTCTTCCTGCCAGGGTAGAGCCACACACTGCACGGCCACAGGCAGCCCCACACTCTTCTTCATGGCCTGCAGGGGACACAGGCATCAGGATGGGAGGGAGCGAGGCAGGACCCCACCCCAGGCCCAGGCAGCACCCCAGCCGGAAAGGAGGGCAGCACAGTGGGCCAAGCACAGTCGTTAGGGGTCTTGGTTAAGAAAGACAGGCAAGGACTACACACGCTTACACTGCTTCCTCCACGGCAGCTAGAGTTGGGGCGCAGGTGTAAGTACAGGGGAAGGGGGTACCCACAGGGGCCTGGCCAGGACCCATGGCCTCACCTTCTGCAGCACCTTGTCCCAGATGTCCCCAAAGTAGCCCCTGTAGTGTTCCATCTGGGCCTCGTCCTCGGCGGTCACCGTGGTGACGGGCACCACCCCCGCTGGGAAGTTCAGGCAGTTGTAGAGCAGAGTATAGCTGACAGCCCCTGAGACACAGCACAGGTGGCTGGAGCTGGCGGTGACCTTCAGTGCCAACTGTCCTCTCTATGCCTCAGTCTTCCACCTGCGAAATGGCAGCCTGCCTCCACAGACAGGGAGAGGTTCTCTCCCAGGATGGAGTCTTAAGTGAGTGACAAAGCCCAGGAATGCAATTCAGGGCAGGTGGAGAGCCCGCTGATGCGTCCCTGTGCCTGTGCCTGTGCCCAGGCAGCTTCCCCCACCAGGGACACTGCTCCTATTTTCTCACCTGGACTTCAAACACCACCTCCCCAAACCACAGACTCCAACTTGAATAGTGCTGAGGACAGGGAGCTCATTCCCTCCGAGGGCATACTACATGATTTCTATCTCTCCAGTCAGCCAGACTGCGAGCCCCCCAAGGGCAGGGTCCTCCCCCAGGGGTGCGTCCCTCCCCCAAGGCTCTTTTTCTACTTCCCAGCTGCCCTGCAGGGCACAAGGCTGAACTCAGGGAAGAGAAGAGACAAGTGGGCGTGTCAGGGGTGTGGCGAGGCAGCAGGCCTCACCTGTGGCCCTCCCTGGGGCATTCAAGTCCATAGCAGGGCCCAGCATGGGTGTAAGCAGCACATCCAGGTCCAGTGCTCTCCACTGTGCAATCACGGAGTTGCGGTACACCTGGGGAAGACACCAGCACACCAGGTGGAGCACTCAGATCCAGCCCATCACATGCACTCTCAATACAGGGACTGTGGCGGGGGTGGCTCTGGCCCCAGCATCTGCCCCAGGATCTGAACTGAGCCACAGTGGAATGCAGTTACTTGGGACATGCAGGCCTGGCTGCTTTCAGGGGGCATCAATTGCTGTACCTCCCACATGAACCATGAACATCATTCGTCCTGCGAGGGCAGCACCAGAGGTGTGAAGAGGCATCCAGGACAGGACCCCCAGGATGACCCAGCCCCCAAGGACAGGCACCCAGGCACGTGAGGCTCAGAGAGCAAGGCCCAAGCAGACCAGGCCAGGGAGTGGAAGGCGGAATGACAGGCTGCTCCAGAAGATCAGCAGGACCAGTGGCCCAAGAGACCCCACCGACAGGTGGCCTGTCCAATTCCACCCTGACCCTGCCCTACCCTAGTCTAGGGGCTCTGGCCTCACCTCAATCTCGTGTTGCAGTTCCCAGAGCTTTCCAGCCGACCTGGGCAGAGGGAGTGAAGTCACAGCTATGATGGTCTCAGCCGTGAGGATGAGCAACATCAGACCCCTACGTGTAACACCTCCCAGATCGCATTCCTCCATGGACCCTTCTCAACTCTATGGGAGCTCTGAGGGAAGTCGTGCAGGCCAGAAGTTCAAACCCCTAAGTTCATGTCCCATTGAGTCCCCAGGAGGGACTTAGGCTGTGTCACTTAGTGACTCCACAGCAGAGCCAGGACCAGACCAACCTGATTCCTATCTACTCTTAGGACACAGGGAAGGCCAGAGCTGTCACAGATCCTAAATGGCAAGAGAAGGAGCAAGTTCACAAGATGTCAGGGTCTGAAAACGGAGTGTTCAGTCCCTGATTTTCCCGATCCAGCCACCGAGGGGCAGGTCGGACCCAGTGCAGCTCAGTTCAGTTCCAATCTCTAAGAGAAGCATCTCTCACGGTTCCCCAGCATCCCCCTCTCCCCTGCTCCACACCGACTCTCCCTGGTCCTTTCCACCCATGCCCTAGCTAGTACGTCTTCTCCTCTCCACCCTCTCCCATCCTGTTCTCTCCCTCAGGCCCTTGCTGCCCAGCCAGACCTGGACCTTGCTAAGACAACTTCAAGGTCCAACCTGAAGGCCGACGAGGTTGCCACTCTGCTTGGGCCACTGCCAGCCTCAGAAGCGACTTCCCTCATCTTTTCCTGTCAGAAACCACTTGGACCCAGGTCAGCAAAAAAAGGGGCGGGCGTCTGAGCATAGGAGATATTCTTACCGAGACTTCATGCTGCTGAGAAAGGCTGCCAACCTTGGGAGCTGCAGAAGGACACAGAGTCAGTGACTCAGCTTTGAGCCAAGTGCTAATAACAATCCTCTTCAGGACAAGCCACCCATGCCTCCTCCCTCTGTCCCTCCCCCCAGGTCCCAGGCAGGCACTCTTTCAGCATGGGAGCTGGCTGAAGATTGAGGGCAGCGGGGAGGAGAGGAGTCTGGGTGGGAGCTGGAGAGAGGAGGTCATGCCTGCCCAAACTGAGAGAGGCTAATGGGAGGGGGAAGAGCCCCGGAGGCCCCTCCCAGACCAGCCCACCCCTTCCACACCCTGTGCCCTCACCAGAGGCTTCAGCAGGAAGGCCAGCAGTCCTCTAAGCCATCTGGGCAGCTTCAGAATTGACACCAGGTCCCCCAAGCAGGGGTCCACGAAATCACCTTTGCTGGGAGACAAAGGGTCCAAGTCCAGGTACTCCCACCCCAGCATCCCTCCCGGCTTACCCCCACCCACTGTACCCCACATTCTCTACAGTGACCCATCCACCTCCCTGTTCATCAGACTCCAGTCACCACTGGTCTCCAATCCTTCATCTGCCTCCTTTCAAACAAGTGACTTGTTCCTGCTGCTCTTGCTTTTGCTGCTCCCTGAAGATGGACTTGTTTCTGCCTGGTCTCCACCCCACACCCACCAGAGCTCCCCAAGGCAGGACTCCGTCTCTCCCTCCCCAGCAAACTCAGCTCAGAGCAATAAGGACTGAGGGCAACACCTCCCTGGCCCAAGCTGGATACCGAGAGCATCCCCTATCAGTGCTGACACCAGCCTGGAGGGACATGCGGTGCAGTCCAGAGTGGGCCGCCACAACACTTATCTTTGAAACTGTCTCCCGCTCTAGATCTCAGGGAAAGATCTCAGGTGGCCGACCCTGGGGCCTCATTCCCAGGGCCAGAGTGAGCGGTAGCCCCTTTGGAAGTCCAGGCACATGACCAGGAGGTACCTTCACAGGCCTGTCCTCTGCCCCTGTCACCTTTTAAGGACTGAAAACATCCAAGTGGAAGCAGCTTCTCTAAACCGGAGCTCTGCAAAGTCCCTTAAAGTAGGTCTGGTCCAACCCACCCACTTTACAGAAGTGAAAACTGAGGATCTGCTCAAAAGGCAAAGACGTGGCTCAAGTCAGAAAAGCCTGGAGTCACAGCAGGATGTCTAGACCCCTCCCCTCCTGCTAGATCCTGCCCTTGTCTCTCAGTCTTTCCCAGATAGGCAACTCCCTGCCCACCTCCTACCTCCCAACAAGCTCAGCTCAGGGCCAATCCACGGATGCTCACCCCAGCCTCCCCTCATGCAAGGTACCTCCAGGCTAAACCTGTAGTTGGAGAGGCTGCGAGGTGCCTGCCCAGGATGCTCAGAACTTCATGTTCAGCAGAGCCCTGGCCCTCATCTTCCCCTAGACTGCCCTGTCCTGAGGGTCATAGCACCCAGCTGCTCTCCCTGGGTCCACCCATGTCCTGATTCCACTGCAGACCCCGAAGCCCAGCATCACTCACAAATTCTGTAGGAAGCTACTGCCACCGTCACTGAACAGTCCACCAGTCGACAGGTTCTCCAGAGCGTGGGGGATGTTGCTCGGCAGGAAGGGAACCAGCTGCGGGGATTGAGGGGTGTAAGGCCCCCAGACCTATAAACTCTTGGTCCCACCATCCCCATGCTGCCCAGGCAGCCCTGAGGATGGACTGGACCAACTCTGCCTGCACAGAAGCCCTCACTGGAGCCACAAAGGCAGCCTTATCGGCCCATGAAAACTCCCAGTAAAATGCACACCATGAGAGAAGTCTGGAGCCACACATAAACTTGTCTCAGATAAGCAGACCAAAACCCACTGGCCCACCACCTCAGGGCCTGGGAACCTCCCGACACTGTGCACCACTGCTTGTGGTTGACGAGGCCCTCTCGATGCAGCGCTCACACATCCCCAGCGCCAGGCTGGGTTCACCATCAATCACTTACCCCAATACTCCCAATCAGCTCCCTAAATACTGGTCCCACAGCGACACAGTTCCCATCTCCAACCACAAAACAATCAGAGTGTGAGGATGCCAGGGAGGAGTGGCAGCCATGGGTAGCAGATAGGCTTCCCTGAACGAGGGGCCCTGCCAGGACTTCTGGGCTCCCACCACCATACCGTGTGGCCAGCAGCCTCAAGGCTCTGCTTGGTCTCCAGCAGGGCCCGCCTCATGGCCGGGGTGGGCATGGTGTAATTGTCAGTTTCATAATACCCCACACGCAGGGGCTGAGAGCTTGTGTAGACCTGGGGGAAGAACATGGGAGTCACGGTCAGGTCAGGGGAGTGCAGCCCAAGGCAGGGCTCCCAGAGATCAGAGAAGCTACTCAGCCCCAGAAACAGCTGTGAGGGCGCAGCCTAGATCCCCTGAAAACCAGCCCCTTCTGACCTGACCCTTTCATAAAACCCCTTCACGATGACTCCGCAGGTGGGCAGAGCAAGGAGGGGGATTTCAATTCGTCATAAGAGGAAACTGAGGCATCAGGTCTAGATAGGGAGATAGGCCCAGAGTGGGGCTGGGACTTGCCCAAGGCCACCCAATGCACAGTGACAACACTAGGTCCAGAACCCAGGCACCCTGTCTCTCAAGCCAAGGCTCTTCACTGCCTGTTCCAAGATATATGTCCTGGCTCCCACAATAAACTATTCCAAAGCTCAGGACAGGGAGCTCACCGCCTCCTCTCCTCCCTCTCAGGAAGGGCTTCATGAACCACTAGGTTCAGTTAGAACATCCTCCTCCGCTGGGGAGGGGGCACTCACCCCGCCCAGCCCAGATCTCCCGCCTGCCAAGGAACACTAAGGCCCACTCGCCTGTCCAGGGGCCCTCGGCCCTTCCAAGACAACTGGGCTGGGTAGGGACAAGAGGTCTGTAGAGGAGAGAGACCTGCCTGACTGCTGAGAGGTGGAGCTTACTCACACTGCCTACTGTCTACATTGCCATGACTTTCCCGTTCCACTGTCTGCATCCATCTAACTTGATGACTCCTGAATGCATTGTACATAAAGTATAAAGCACTTTACTGTCGATTCTTGAAAGACCCATCAACTCTTCAACAGAAGTATCAAGTGACAGTTTATAGCTCAACATTCGTTGAAACCCTCACCTCAAAATCCGCACCCTGCTGTGTCCACCGATCCCAAAGTATTACATCATGACCCTTACAAACCCCCAAGTTGAAAACCCAAAATCAAAATCTCAACCAACATCCCAACTTTGCCCCTCCCCCCGACCCCTCACCCCCGACCCTGGTGCTAAGGCTCTGTTGAGGCAGCACTCTCCCTCACCACAGAAAGTAATAAACTCAGTCTTGTCTGATCAGTAGTCTGTTTTGGTGACATTTTGGAAAATTCGACACTGCCCACAGATCCCAGCTTTCTCTGGGGGGAAGACAGCTCCTCTTTTAACTGTCCTTAACTCACTCAGCCTACATGCCGAGCATCCTACCGGAGGCTGGGGATAGCGACATGAATACAGTCATGCATCGCTTAAATAACAGGGACACAGTCTGAGAAATGCGTCGTTAGGCGATTTCATCGTGCAAACATCAACGAGCGTATTTACACAAACCTATACTACACACCTAGGCTATATGGTACACTGTCGTATATGCGGTCCAGACAGAAACATCGTTATGTGGCACATGACTGTACTGTAAGAAAGGCTCCTTTTTGCTGAGGGTCAAACACAGATGAGGGACAAGAGTTCTCCCTCAAGATGTTCTCGGGCTGGCAAGTGGTTTCTCAGACAGCGGCAGAGGCTGGGGCCAGAACGTGGGGCCTTTCCTCAGAAGAGGTTCCCCACCCGCCAGTTTCTGAGTTTCTGAATGCTGGCAAGGGTTCCCCCTGGTGGCCGTCTGCAGAGCAGCAGCTGATCCTGGTCTCAGGCCCCGGTGCAGGGGTTTTCCTCGAAGGGCTGCCCACACTGCCTGGGGGCTGCTCTCGGTGCTCAGAAGCACGAGGGATAACCGAATCCGCCCCTACCCATGCTCACCTCCTCTTTGAAGGGCAGGGGGGGCACGGTGGGGTCCAAGCGGAACATGTCTTCGCACAGCAGCGCTCGCAGGCACAGCGCCAGGCTCTCCACATCTCGGGCCATGGGGCCAACTGAGAGCTGTACTGTGGGGTGTGGAGGGGAGGGAAGAGAGATCACCCAGCCCCAGTGGGCTCTGGAGCTGGGCCCAAGCAAGGGCTGGGCCATGGCCCAGGAGTGTGAGCAGAGACAAGGAAGGAGGAACTCAGACCTAGAGCACCCCAAGGAGAGGCAGGGGCAGAATTGGATCAGGCAGACCCCCTCCTCCAGGCACTGAGGGAACAACAGATCTCACCTGCCACCTGTCCATAGACACAGCCCTTCAGGCCACTCTTGCTGAATAAGAAACACAAAATGTCGGCAACAGGAAACAGCCACCCGCAGCTCAACCCCACACCCATACGGCAGCTCCCAACTCACCCCACTTTGAAAACAAGGAACCAAGGCCAGTGGTACTGTGACAGTCCCTCCCAGCAAAACCCCAGTGAGGGAATCCCTGCCTGGAGCCCAAAGAGGTGGGATGCTAGGCCAAGCTCACACAGCCAGAGGCCCAGAAGCTCCCTCCACCTTACCTGAGGCGGTTCCCCGTGGGCTTGAGGCCACAGATGCCACAGAAGGCGGAGGGAAAACGGATGCTGCCCCCGATGTCGGTGCCTAAGCCCAGAGGGGAGCCTCCAGCCCCAATGAGGGCCCCCTCGCCCCCCGAGGAGCCACCTGGGCTCTTGGAGGACTTCCATGGATTGATGGTCTGGCCGAAGAGGGGGTTACTGCAGTCATAGCTGGAGGAAGCAGGAATGGGTCAGCCCATGTCACGCTGGCATGGGTGCCCCGGCCCCCGCCCTGCAGCCCTGAGACCCAACCTGAACATGGACTGGGGGATGTTGGTGTGCACGAAGGGCACAGCGCCCTGCAGCTTCAGCACCTGCACCACCACGCTGTCACACTCTGCTGGTACCCCCTCATTCAGGCTCAAGCCCAAGGTCGAGTCCTGGCCCTAGAAGGCAGGAGGGGCACCGAGAGGGACATGGCTGATGAGTCAGGGGCCTGTCAGCAGCCCCTCCCACCACCATCTCCCTGGCCACGGCAAGGCACATCATGGTCCCCTCTCAAGGCCTGTGGGCCTAATACTTCCTCTGAGGGCCCAGGGGACCCAGGACACAGGGCTGGCTGGCAGGGGTGGAGGGTGGGGGCCTGAGACGACGGCAGCACATACCTTGTAGCTGAAGCACTCCTTGAGGCTCACAGGAACACCATAGAGCAGGCCCTGCCTTGGGGCCTGGGACAGCTGAGTCTCACAGTCTGCCAGGTAGGTGGTCACACAGTTAGTCCCTTTGTTCACTTCCCAGGCCTGGGAGAGGGAGAAATGGACACAGGTAGAGTGAGGCTGGCCTTTTGGATTGTGGTAAAACATACATAACATTAACTAGGCCTTTTCCAGAATACCCAGGGAAAGGTAGCCAGCCACCAGAGCCAGGAGCACAGGGGATAACCGAGGGCCAGCACCGCGTCCAGCTCACTGGGGACATCTGGCCCCAGCCTCACCCTGGTTGTCTCTGGCCTCCAACCCAAGACGGAGAGAAAGTACTCCCAGGACCAGGACACAACAGTCAAAGGAGCAAGATCCTAGCCTCAGATGCCCCCCAAGGGATGAGCTGGGAGGAAGATAACCCTTGGCCACTGCCCCCTCCTCCTCCGAACCGCATCCCTGCCCAGTGAGGCAGAGGGGTACTAGACAGGAGCAGATCCCCATCTCAGGTCACTCTGGAAGGCGGCGCAGAGCAGGGCTAGCCCCAGGCTCCAGCCTCCCAGAGCCCAGCAGCGTCTCTGCCCCATGCCTGGCCTGCCTCTGCCCCAGCTAAACCTCCCCTCTCCCAGGAACTCTCTCTGATGCTCAAGCCACGTGGAGGAGGGACTGACTGATCCCAACTGCAGTAAGGGGTGGGAGCTTGACTAAAGGGAAGGATGCACTAACAGTGGCCATCTGCCGCGGGGTCTTTCCAGAGCCCTCAAATCACTCAACACGGCCCTACGAGAGGGAAAGGTCAGGGCAGAATGGGGTGCAGGCTTCGGTAAACATTCCTGTTCCTGTGAAACACCTGAGGAAAAGGGGTGTGGGCCCTACTGCCACACTCGGGCACACCAAATGTGCCCATGCAAGAAGGAAGGAGGCCAATCTCTAGCCAGAATGCTCTCTTCTGGATGATAAAAGAACGGTGGGAACTTTTTCAGGGAGTTGGGGCAGGAGCAACATGTCTGCTGAGACTGTCTGTCCTCTCAGCGCACTCCGCCCAGGGGCTTCCAGGCCTTACTCCACAGGCAGTCTCTCACCCTCTGCCAGCTGCCGTCACTCACACCACTGGCATACACACCCATCAGTCACCAGACACTCATGTCCACCTGCTTAGTGGTCACACTCACTATCACACACTCTCTTTCAAGAAATCATACAGAAGTCACACTCATAAAGCACAATTCTTTCTTTGCTTCATTTCCAACATTTCTTGAGCACTAACTATATGAAAGACCTAGTGTTCAGCACTGAGGTGCAAAGACAAACAAGACAATCTCTATCCACAAAAAGCCCACATTCAACATGGAACAAAGAAAGACAAGGCAAGCCCTGTGACGCGATGAGAAATGTGCCGTTAGAAAGTGAACACTGAAGAGGAAATCCTAACTTGGGCTGGGAGGGAAGGAGAGTCAGGGGAGGCTTCCTGGAGGAGGTGACTCCTCTCTGAGCCCTGACTCAGTGCCGGGAGCCTGCTGCACCAAGCAGGGCAGGAAGAGGGAGAAGAGCCTTCCAGGTAAAGGGAACCTCATGCAAGCCACTGCAGAGCATGGCAGGCCCCAGGTGCCCGGGAACTGCCAGCAGCTGAGCTGCTGAGGCCCCAAGTTCCAGAAGGCCTGAGCCAGGGAGGATGCTGGAGGTGGGGGAGCAGCAGAAGAGCAGAACCTGAAGAACTAGAGACCTGAGAGGGCATCTGGCCAGGAGGCTGGCACTTGGTCATGGAGGTAAATGGTGGTGGAGGACCAGGGGGGCTGAAGGGGGTGAGGAGAAGAGAGTGAACTAGTGAACTAGAGAGAGCTATAAGAAGAGAACAGACCAGACTTGGTGACCGACAGGGTGGGGGCGGGAGAGACAGAAGTCTGGGCTGAAAGCCAGGTTTCTAGCTAAGACAACATGCTCAGTGTCCCCACCACCACACACAGAGTCAGCCTCTCTTCCCTCTCACTCCCACCACACACACACACACACACACACAGTGCTGTCTCCTTCCCTTCCTGGCAGGCCCTGGCACTATGGTCCCACCATGGCCCTCAGCAGGACAAATCCAGGCCAGGTTTCCCCTACAGCCTGTGCAGAGAGGGAGGGAGGAGCCAGAGGATTACCAGCAGGCCTTACCTTTCCCACATAGGTAAAGAGCGCGGCTTCTGGGGACAGCTCCCCACCATGTAACTTCTGCACCAGCTGAGGCAGCGGCAGGGCCAGCAGTGCCTCTGAGTCCAGGTCGGGATTCTGGGGAGACACCTCAGGTCAGCCCTCCACTCCCCACACGCACTGTGTGCCAGCAGCAGACACCTGTGGCCCGAGGCCCAAAGTCCCCACACCCACCAAGCAGACGCTCACTGTCACATGCCAATCCATGACAGACAGGCCCGCCCCCTGCTCTGACACCAGAAATGTGGCCCGGCCTGGGTAGGCCCTTGCCACCTGTAAACCGTACAGATACATATCTTCGAGAAGCTTCCTGGAGGGGGTACCCAGGAGAAGCTACATCAAGCTGATTATTACATGGTTACAAACAAGGACCAACGATGGCTGCCTACTGTGTGCCAGGCACCATGGTGGTGCGCTCTGTTTTGATTAAATCTTACTACCATTCCCATTGCACGGATAAAGAAACTGAGGCTCAAAGAGGGAAGTGCGCTGCTTAGGACCATACAGATAAACTACAGTTCTCTGTCCACTCAGCACAGGCTGCCCGCTGGCTGTCCACCTGCACCTGACCACCCAACCCTGGCAGGGGAGGGGGAAAACAAGATCTCGTCCTGAGTGGTTGGGGCTGTGGCTGGAGGTCACACTCAAGAGAGAGGATTTTTCATTCATCCACAGGATTAGGTGTCTACTCCCTACCAGGTACCACAATAAGCTGGGGATACAGCCATGAACTGTATATAATAAGGCATGTAAAATCAGTGAACTGTATTATAAGGCGCATCCGTGCGCTGTGGAGCTTATAGAAGGAGCAAAGTTGGGGGTGAGCAGATAATTAATAAGTAAACAAATAAGAATTTTAATAGTAGGGGCCGGCCCAGTGGTGCAGCGGTTAAGTGCACATGTTCCGCTTTGGTGGCCCGAGGTAGGCAGTTGGGATCCCAGGTGCAGACCTACGCATCACTTATCAAGCCATGCTGTGGCAGGTGTCCCACATATAAAGTAGAAGAAGATAGGCATGGATGTTAGCTCAGGGCCAGTGCTCCTCAAGAAAAAAGAGCAGGATTGGTGGCAGATGTTAGCTCAGGGCCAATCTTCCTCAAAAAAAAAAAGAGAATGTTAATAGTTAGACATAGCTTTAAAAAAATAAAACCATGTACAATGAGTGGGCAGCGTGCAGGTAGAGGTTGATCAGGACAGAGCTCGCTGAAGGAGGAGGGACATCTGATCCGATGCTTGACTGCCAGGCCTCGAAGTCTCCCAGAGTCATCGCATTAACCCACTTGCTTCCTCCTCAAGGGTATTGGACTAATTAGTAAACACGGCTAGAGAGGACATCTGAGTCACAGCCACCTCTACCCTCCTCTGCTCTTGCCATAGTCCCTAGGGGCCTCCTTGTTGCCAAATCCAACAGATACTTGACTCTCTTTATTCTGCTCTGTGTCTCACTGAGGCGCTCAAAGGTGCTGAGGCCACACGGCAGCTCTCTTCAGTTTCCGCTTGGGCGTGGACATTCTATCCTCCTTGCGGTTCCTCCTGCCTCTCTGCTACTTCTGTCATCCACTTATTCAGTCAGTCAACAAACATGTTCTCAACCTCTATTATGTGCCAAGGACCTTGTGAGAGGCTATGAATTTAGAGGCAACCAAGACAGATGAGTCCTGCTCTCAGAGAACTTACATTCAAGAAAATAAACAAGTTTACCAACAATGGACAGATCGTGGTAAGTGTGAGAAAGCAAACAAGCAGAGCATTATGATGGAAATAGAGGGCTGACTAAGATGGAATGGGCAGGGTCTCTGAGGAGGCGACATTTCAGCTGTGATATGAAGAATGAGAAGGAGCCAGACGTGGGGAGAAACAGAGGCTCCTTGAGGTTCCCCTTCCCTCTCCGATGCTGGGAGAAGTCATTCTTTCTTGTGGCTTCCACTCCACGCTCTCTAGGTATCCCAGAGCCTCCAGATCCTGCACCCAGCCTGACCCAGCTGAGCCCCAGCTGCTCCCATGCCCCGATGTGCTTCCCCCCGACTCCCCCACTTTCCATGGGGAGGCTCCTCCTCCATGTCCCCTCACTCAGGAAGGGCGCTGCCATCCATCCAGATGTTAAAGTAAGAAAACAGGATCATCCTGGATTCCTCCGTCTCCCTCCCACCCACATCCGGTCAGTCACCAGGCCCCCCAAGTAGCTCTGGGAAACGGCCACCTCTCCATCTGCTGTACCCAGACCCTCAGCGGTGCTCCTCCCTCGCCCCCTCGGTCACACAGGGGCCACCTAACTGGCTACCCTGCCCAAGGCTTGCCGCTCCCACCCACGCTTCCTGTGAGGCAGACAGTGCAAAGCCCAACCACGCCTTACCTCTCCCCTAAAAACCCCCATTGCACCACCAGCTCCAGAGCATGCTCCAAGAGGCGCCTCCAGGCTGCGGCCCTGTCAAACTCCTCTGCACCCCTCAGTGCGACACCACCCACTCACATCCGCCACATGCCCAGAGCCAAGCACCCACCACACAGACCATCACACAACCTTTGTACCCCGGCCTCACTATTAGGACACTCTACCCCCCACTGAATTTGTTAAATGGATACAATACTTACTTGGGTTTTTTTTTATAATGCAGGGAGCTACAATGAAGAAAAATGGATCCCTGGTCTCTCCCCCACCCCAACACACTAGGTAACCCCTGGTGATATATTTTTTTTAAAGATATACAAAATGAAAAGTGAACATTCCCCTCACCTCTAAATGGGACCACCTTGTCCAGTGCCTCTGCTGAAAAGGGAACTACAGTTAACAGTTCCTTTTTTTTTTTTTTTTTAGATTTTTTTTATTTTTTCCTTTTTCTCCCCCAAAGCCCCCTGGTACATAGTTGTATATTCTTCGTTGTGGGTCCTTCTAGTTGTGGCATGTGGGATGCTGCCTCAGCGTGGTTTGATGAGCAGTGCCATGTCCGCGCCTAGGATTCGAACCAACGAAACACTGGGCCGCCTGCAGTGGAGCGTGTGAACTTAACCACTCGGCCACGGGGCCAGCCCCATCACCTAACAGTTTCTAATGAAACCTCACAGGAAAAAAAAATGTTTATGAGAAACCCACAATGTACGTAATTGCCTGTATAGATTCTATTTTTGCACAAAGGGGTCATTCTACACACACACTACTATATCTTGCCTTTCTCACCTCACAGTGAAAATAGCAAGATTGCTTTATGTTTTTTCTGATTGTATACATATGTGCACACTGTTAAAAAAGAAGCCTGCCTGACAGCATGGGGAAGAAAGTGAAGATCACCAGAGAACCCACCACACTGGTAACTACCACCGACAGTCTGGTCACCACCATTTTCCATCTCGCTACAAGGTGCCCACTGAGACCCTGTGCACCTCAGCTAGAAGCCACCAGCAAGCTCCCCTCTGTTCTCAGCACACATTTTAATTCTTTCCTATGTTCTTCTGTGGTGACAGTGGATGACATCATTGCTAACAGCTATTTTTAAGTCTTCAACTAGTTATCAGGCAGCTAAGACATTTTTTCTTTCACAAGACACCAAAAGAAGTCTGCACCTCCAGGAGGCCGATCTGCGAGCAGGATGGAAATTCGCTTTGTGTGGAGAATGCAGGGGAGTGTACACATAACTTCACCTAAGCGTGTGGCCATGTTGTATGCACTCTCTTTCAAGGGAGGGACACCAGAGCTGTCACGGAATCACTGCCCCTCCTCCCTCTGTTTTTCTCCCTCCGAAGCACCTACTGTCCTAATTTCAGGCATCCTAGATTGTCCTCCCTCTCTTTCTCATTCTCCCTCATGGTTTTGATCACTTCTGTCCTATTTCAAGAGATCTATTCCATTTGATCATGTAGGCCACTGATCCTGGTCTCAAGGAAAACCACACTGACCTTCAATTCTTCTACTGAATCACTTTGTTCTAAGGTCAAGTTCAGGATGGGCTTGGAGAAGGCCAGGAGATGGAACTACAGGTCAGATCCAGTTGAGGGAAGTGGCATTTGGAAGCCCAGTGGGATTTTGACAAAAGGGGTTGCAAGAGACATAGGAAAAAGGCACTGTGGATAAAACCACAAGTGCACTGGCACAGCTGTTGTGTCCTATCTCTTTCGGCCAGAATATCCTATGAATGGGGCTCGCTCTCCTCAGTCTAGAGAGTATTGAAACTCTTTCGGGGGCAGGGTGGGAAAAAACGGGCCAAGAGGTGTTACAGGCAAAGCCTCACCTGGTCAACAGAGAGCTTCCAAAAACATGCCTCACTCCAGAACTGCTCTAGAGTCTAGAGAGAGGTGGGCCAGCTTGTGATGGTTGAGGAAGTGCTGAGGATTCCCGTGCCCCAGCACTGTCTTAGAACACAGGAGGGAGCTGGGCTCCCAGCTAGCTTTGCCCAGAGTCTCTCAGGCAGGAGCTGCTGGATTCTCTCAGGGCCTGCCCAGGGCCCTGCTCACCTCAGTGCCCCCTGCTAATCGGGGCTGAGCTGAGAAAGCTCCAGAAGAAAGGCTGCTGAGACAGCCTCAAAACCCGCCTCTCAGTCATCCAGCAACCCCAGAGCCAAGCAAAAAGATGCCTTTCCGCCAGGCAGGGAGGAGGAAGGAGCTGGTCCCAAGGCTGGGGCTGAGTTCAGCTAAAAGCCCACCTCCTACCTGCCCCCAAGGCCTACAAAGCTATTGTCATCAGGATCCCACCCCTTTACTGACTGCTCAAAACCATGGGGCTCCTGAAATTACTCTCCCTTTGTTCTCCACAGTCACTGGAACACTAAAAGGTAAATTTCTCTACCGAGAAGGGTCAAGCCTTGGTGTTCTGAGGCCAGGCTCTCTTGCCTCATGGAGGGTATGTAAACAGCTTTTTGTATTTCAGGGTCGAAACTTCTACCCTGGACGATTCAGCTCTCAAAAATAATGAAAGGTGGTCGCTCCAGAGGGACGCTGTGTAGACACTGATGTTTGGAGGTGAAGTGAGGAAGATTTCTACCACCTTCTACCCTTCTGCCATCCCACACTCCTGCCAGCCCGTGGGTTCCTTGTGAATAGGAGGGGAGTTCTGTAGGCAGGAACCGTGGGCACATTCCTGCAGCTGCCTCCACGCAGCTCCTGGAGCTGACAGAACTCAGCTAGCTGCACAAAACGACTTGGGGCCTCCAGAGCAGCCGAGGGGCTCCAGGCTGAGCTGGGGGTCATTGCAAGGATCCCTGAGCACCGCACCTGGGAGCTCAGCCGGAGAAGGAGAACTAGACAGTGCAGAACCTGTGCTCAAGTAGGGGAAGTGGCCAGTTTGCATTGAACACCTGAAAACTGAGTGATGGAATTTTCAGCCAGCTTGAGGAGAGGAGGCTGGAGCCAAATACATTTTGATTGGCATCCAAGGCCCGGTCTCCCTTCCTAATCTCTCTCCCCTGCTCCTCTTCACTGGAATGAAGCTGGATAGTCCCACTGGGCCTCTCGATTCTAGTTACAGCTCTGCCTCAACTAAAAAATCACTTGCTACAGCTGAGCACCTGCTAACTGCGATTTTCTGTGACTCCCTCTCTGTCTCCCACCTAGGCACATCCTCCTGACTCCTGCTGTCCCCATCACCTGGAATGTCTTCCCACCATCAGATCCAAATCCTTTCAAACACTCCCAGCAAGTCTTTCCTCCTTCAGCAGGTAAGAACATCTCCCAGAGTTCAGCATTTTGACTTCTACCTGGGTTCAGTGTCTCACACACCTGGAGGAAAAGCTCCCTCTTCTGGGCCCCTCTTCCACCGACACACACAGTGAACTGATCCAGAGGACAAAAAGCTTGCTCGGCAGATCACCCAGCGAAGGGCTGGAACTACCCCTGCTCATGGAAGGGGCTTGTCGGGGTTGGACACCACAGCCTGGGCGGCAGGAGCTGGGGAGACGTTCATTCCAGCCCGGCTCTGCCAGTAACTGCCTGTGCACTTAGGCAAGTCTCCTTCGGGCTCCCTCTTTGAGTCCTGAGGCACAAATCAATGAGTTTGAACTGTAAACTCCCCGGCTTTCCTCGGCCATCACTCAGTGATTCCAAAGTCCTAAACTCTAGCCTCCCGTTGGTTCTCACCCTCGCGTTTTAGCGTTCTAATAGTGATCTTGAGATTCTTTGGCACGGAGCAAAGCTCCTCTTTGACCCAGTGCAGCGAGGGCCTCCACAACCTGCCCTACCCCTTTCGATTCCCTTCCTCCCCTTAGCCCCACCTGGCTCAGGAAGAGTACAGAACGCATCAGGGCGAGGAGGGGCTCCGAAAGTTACAAACCTGCGCTGCCCGCCACCTGCCCCTCCGAGCGCGCCGCGCGGCTTAAAGTGCCGCTGGGGATGCCCCCCTTCCCCCCGTACCCCAACCCCGACCGTCACCTGGAGCCGGAAGCGCTGCGCAGCCTTGTCCATGTTCTCCAGGGCCGCTTGCTGCCGCTGTCGCGCCCGGGCCGCCGCGCCCCGGGCGGTCCGGCGACCGCGCCAGCGCAGGACCACGGTCGTCGCCACCAAGCAGCAGGCCAGGGCAACCCCGGAGGCGCCGGAGAGCGCGGCCCACAGTTCGTCCAGCATCATGGTCTCCCGCCGCCGACCGCTGCCGAGAGCGACAGCTGAAGGATCAGCACGCGCCGATTCCGCCGCAAAACTCGGCCTGGAACGCCGGGATCCCGGGCCCGCCTGCGTGGGAGGGGCGGAGCGGCGGAGGAGCGCGCCGTTGCCAGGCAGCGGGCGGGAGGCCGGCGGCGCGCAATGGTCAAGGTCAGGCCCTGCGGCCCGGCTGGGGTCGCTCCCCGCGTCTTCCCACCCTGAGCCAGGCGGAGCAGGAGGGACATCCGCTTCCCGGGGGGCGCCCTCGGAAGTATGAGCGTAGCAGCCTCCGCCCCGCGCACCCCAGAATCCCAGAGCCCCAACTCCCGGAAGATGCAGCTCAGCCCCAGCCCTCCGCAGCGACAACTGGGCTCGCGAACCTGATTAGTCCCTGCAAACAGTCTAGCGGCATCTTTCCTGGAGAGTCTTGCGTGGGGGCCGTGCACCGAAGGGCGCCCACCTCTCCCCTGCGCGGGGCTTCCAGGGCGCCAGCCCCCCCAACGGACACAGGAATTTTATCTCAGTGCTCCCACCTGCTGCCCCCTCCCCTTTCCCCAACGCTGGGGGGAAGCCCGTGTCTCTCGCCCTGGGCTCTTCTTTATGGCCAAAGCACTCATCACTTGACCTTTTGCTCAGCCACCTCCCGCAGACTGGCCTTCCCAGGGTCACCCTCTTCCGGTCCTGGGCCCTACTGGACTTCACCCCCGGAAGCAGGAAGAACTCTTGACCAGGAGGAATCTGGGGACCTGGCACCGTTCATTAGCGGGGTGGGGGGATTGTATACAAACACAAAATACTTCTCCCGTCTAGGCTCTCTCACAGGACTTTATGTGCTTTATTTCATTTGTCCTCCCAACAGACCTATGAGGAGGGCCCTGTTTTATCCTCATTTTACCCATCACTTCTGTGGGTCACACAGGTGACTGAGTGGGGATTCAAACTCGGGTCTAATCCTCAACCATTGCTCTTAACCATCAAGCAGAACTCCAACTACGGCCCCCGGAAGTGAAGCTCTGTGGGGTGGGGTATAGCAAAGTGCTTTGTGACTGGAAACACTGCTGAAACTCTCTGCTGTCGCTGCAGTTCTGTCCTTACCTCTGAATCTCTGCCTTTACCTGTATAGGGGGAGGGTTACAATGCCCACCTCACAGGATTGGGAGGAGGAGTCTGTGAGGTCCTCTATGTGTGGTGCCTGGCACATAGCAGGCCCTCCATAAATGTTTAGTGACTGAATGAAAGGGCTAGCTCTGAAGACCCTTGAGTGTTGCTGGAAGAATCCGGACCTGAGGGCATTGCAAGTCACTGTCAGGCTCTCAGCATATTTGGGAGGGGCCAAGGACTAGGTCATTAGTCATGGTTGAATGCTGCTGAGTTGCTACTTGCTGTTGATGGCCCTTTGTAAGTTTCAAATCCCTGGAGCTCAGTTTCCCTAGAAGAGGAGAGCTGACAGATGCAGGGGGATGGAAAGCCCAATCTGAAGTAGGTCTTGCAAGGTCACCTCTCCCCATCTCCTGAGAGGATAAAGGGATTCTAGCCCTTGATTCACCCATCACTGGCTGGGGTACCTTGGGTAACTCAATTTTTCCTTTTGTAAAATGAGAAACATTCTTCCTGACCCCCTCTCTCTCTCAAGAAGGAGAAAATCAGATTATAGTTATGGGGAAACTCTGGCCATCTCTGAGGCTTAATCATAAAGTTTGTAACGTGTTGTGAGTTGGGCCAAGATTTGTTAGTTTAGGAACGCCATTAACAAAATATTCACTTAACGTTTGTTTGCTGTAATGGTAGTTTTTCTAAGTAGTAGCTTCCTGGGGGCATATTAGACAGGATGTAATTTCCAGAAAGGATCTGGGGGATCTCGGTGGGGTATGGAGGCCAAGGCCCCAAGTGCTGGACTGAGACTAATGTTCAGGTCGCTGTGGGCGGCCACGTCGGTTCTCTGAGAGACTCCGGGGACTCTTGCCCTCTGACAGTCTGTGGTTCAGTTCGGCAGACACCCACTGAGCCCTGCTACTGTAGGCCCCTTGCTGTGAGCTAGGGGAGCCAAGGCAAGTACCAGATCTCAAATCCGGCCTTGTGGAGCTCTGATTGGGAAGGAAAAACCGTGCAGAGACCAAAAACGAAAAGGCATGCTTTGCTGCAAAGGCAGAGATTATCCTGCATGAACCCAAAGGGCCTTGGATGCCTGGCCCTTGGGCTGAACAGCCCTCAGGTAAGCCAGATAGCACAGTGGTTCAGAGGTTGGCTCTGGAGCTGGAGTGTCCAGTACCCCATTTGTTGTGTGACTGTGCCCCAGTTTCCTTCCCTGTAAAATGAGGATAATAATAGTGTCCCCCTCCCCCAATTCTTCAGTACTATTGTAGAATCAAGTGAGATAATAGAGGTAACACAGCCTGAACAGGGCCTGGCATATAGTAAGTGATGCAGGGTCGGTGAGCTGAGGAGTCGAAAGAAAGATTTCTTGGACTCTCAAGATCTGGCAGTAGTGCTCTTTTTATTTAGAGAATAGTGTGGAATAGCATGGGGACAGGACCCATGGGCAGTCAGAGCTCCTGCTGCTGCCCTGAGTTGAGGGTTAGGGCTAATTTTATAAGGCATGGATATGTGACTTATTTTTACTGGAAAAAGAAAAGATGATGTAAAAAGTCATTAAATGATTTCAGTGCAGATGGGGTCTGGTTATTGTGCGGTCATATAACTTTTAGATACAAATCTGGCCATATAGATCGGCATGTAGGTGAGGATGCCCTGGGCTTCTCTCCCTGGGGCAGCCCTAATTCATACCATAAAAAAATCCACTGGGTCATATAGTTTGGCATGTAGGCCAGGTCACCTTGGGCTTCTCTAGCTGGGGCAGCCTTAATCCACATCAGTAAGCAATCTATGCACCTTAATCATTATATTATTATTGTTATTATTTATTATTAGAGAAATAGAGAGCTACAGAGAAAATAATCCATAACCAATCTATAAATGAAAATTTGGGTGAGTTTATTCTGAGCTGAAATCTGAGGACCATGGCCCAGGGCCTTTCTTCCCGAAGGGAGAAAGGGCACCAAAGAAGTGGGGTGCACAGAGTGGTTATATATCCCCAGAGAGGATGTTCCACATAGGATTGAAATGTCCCTTTTACAATAGTTTCGAGACTGCTCTGTCGGCACAGCAATTGATGGAAATAGCAGGTAGGTCTTCTGTCTCAGTGAACACAGCAGGGTGGAAGTCTGTTGTCTCCAGCTGAGTGGTCAAAGGTGAGTGCAGCAATCAGTTCCTAGCCTAAGGAAAGATGCTTATCCCTAAGAAAATGCCAATGTGGGGGGAAGTTGCACCTTTATCTCAAGGGCCTTTGTTCTGGCCATAGGAAATGTCTAAGCAGATATACGGTGTGTGCTCAATTGCCACAGTCAGGCCCTTTTGGAAAAAACAAAGTCAGGCCGAATTAGGTTTATACCAAATGGCTTCCTCATATACTCCAATATATCCTATTGCTTGCCATTTTTATTTGTCACTTCGCTGTAAAATGAGGATAATAATAGTGTCCCCCTTCCCAATTCTTCAGTACTATGGTAGAATCATGTAAGTTAATAGATGTAACACAGCCTGAACAGGGCCTGGCATATAGTAAGCAATCTATGCACGTTAATCATTATATTATTATTGTTATTATTTATTCTTAGAGAAATAGAGAGCTACAGAGAGGTGTTTTCTGGCCTGAGAAGCCCAAGCTCGGGAACCAGACTGCCTGAGTTCAAATCCTACCTCTGCCACTTAATATGCTATGTAACCTTGAGTAAGCCACTTTAACTTCTTGTGCCTCAGGTTCCTTACCTGCAAAATGGAGGATAATAATAGTGACTACCTCACAGAATTGTGAAGATTCAACGAGTTGATTCAAGGAAAGAGCTTAGAACAGAACCTTGCCTGTTGAAAGGGCTCAATAAACATTAGCTCACTATTTTAAGCAGAGATGTGATGCAATCCTACCAGTGTTTTGGGAAGGCAATGTAGAGGAGAGTTAGGAGAGGCGAAGGCCATGGAATGGAAGAGCAGGGGGTCGCGAGGATCTGAAACCGGCAAACAGCCATTGATGATTAAGTATCTAGGTACTAAAGTTTTTCCTTTCTGCAACTACTGATTATAGCTTTTAGCTGTTTTTTTTTTTTTTTTGTTTAAAGATTTTATTTTCTTTTTCCTTTTTCTCCCCAAAGCACCCCAGTACATAGTTGTATATTCTTCGTTGATGGGTCCTTCTAGTTGTGGCATGTGGGACGCCGCCTCAGCATGGCCCGACAAGCAGCGCCATGTCCGGGCCCAGGATTCGAACCAACGAAACACTGGGCCGCCTGCAGTGGAGCGCACGAACTTAACCACTCGGCCACAGGGCCAGCCCCTGCTTTTAGGTGTTTAACCTGCCCATGTTAACTGTGCTGCTTAGGCAACATGCTCTCTGACTCCCACTAGGCTCCTATAGATAACATCTCCCTGGAGCCTGGGTCCCCATGGTAATGGGTGTGTGAGCTGTTTTTCAGGAATTAGAACTCCTTGTCCATTTCAGGCTGGTAGAAACCACCAGCTCATCAACTGGGCCCATGCAGATGTCCGATAGGTGACATTTTGACGTCAAGAGGCTAAAAACTTCACCCTCAGATCATGCTAACGCCACCATTTTGTGAACATGGGTCCTGTGAAGAGGCGTGGTCTGACTACGCCTGCGCAGATCATCAATGACCTCACCTCTCCTCACCTCCAATCACGTCTCTCCACATCTCTGACTATCTTGCCCCCATCCCATAAATATCCCTGAGTCCCTATTTTCAGGGAAGCGAATTTGAGGCTCTTGCTCTCGCTTCCTCACGTGGCTGCCTTGTGAGTAAACTCTGTCTCTGCTGCAATCTTGCTGTCTCGGTGTTTGGCTTTCTGGGCAGCGGGCAAAAACGAACCTGTTCCCTAACAAATGGCGAGGCAGCTAGGAGCTAAGTCCAGATGGACCTTTTTGCCTGAGATTCGTCAGCCCCTTGCCAGTGTGGAGAACCTGTGAGCGAGTCTAGCAGCTGCTGGAAGCATTTCTCCTGGGACTGTTCCGGGATTCTTTCCTGGTTTGGCGCTGCCGGCTCCTTGGCGCATATTTTCACTTTGCAGTAGAGAGACGGTTTCTTGGTGACATCTTTTTGGTGAGTAACTTTGGTACAAGTGACAACATTCTTTTTTTTTTCTTTTTTTTTTTTTTGAGGAAGATTAGCTCTGAGCTAACATCTGCTGCCAATCCTCCTCTTTGTTTTGCTGAGGAAGACTGGCCCTGAGCTAACATCTGTGCCCATCTTCTTCTACTTTATATGTGGGATGCCTACCACAGCATGGCTTCTGCCAAGCGGTGCCATGTCTGCACCTGGGATCTGAACCAGCGAACCCCAGGCCGCTGAAGTGGAACATGCGAACTTAACCACTGCACCACTGAGGCGGTGCCGACCGCATTCTTATTTCTCCTTCCTTTAAGTCTGACTTCCGAGAGGAAGCCTTGGTTTGGCAGGGGACGCCCCCTGCGACTTCCGACAAAGGAAGCCTTGGTCTGGCCTTCATTGTGAGGGTCGTTTTCGAGAACGCTTGATAATAGGGAAGAATTAGGGGATCCACTCACAGAAG